CTCATTTGGGGATTACTTTTATGTAGGTCTTTTTCTTAGTTACCAATTATGTGTTCCTTGTTCTCATTCTGTTACCTCTTATTGAAATGCTACATACTTACGCGTATTTCTTTTTGATTAAGAAAATTCCTTTTCTTTAACATTTCAAAAACTACATTTTTTGTAATTAAAAATTAGGTATATGTACTTAAGTTATTTTTTCTTTAGGAAACTTTGATAATATTGTTAAGAACAAGCAATAATATATACCAAACAACTATAGATAATGCAAGTTCAAAAGTAATCTGTCTACTTGTTCATGTTCTTTGTATCTTATCTAAATCGAATTTAATTGCCTGAACAGCTTTTAGCTGGCATTGTATGCTCACAGGGTTGAAATTCAAGGGACTTCATTGAGATGGTCCCTCTTCCGGGAGATCCAGAAGTGCCCTTTCTGCTTGCTTAATTTTGCTGAAGGATGCAGGTTACGGGTCAAGTTGCAGCCGAGTGTCCAGTGGCAAATTTAAACTGTGGGCTGCCCATGGAGTGCTTCTGAATTTTTATCCAAAAATCTGACCCACCGACTTTGCCTTTACCAACCGCGACTGTGCTGCTTTTGAAGACCAAACCCACAGCAAGGTTTCGAAAGAATTCCTAAAATTCAATATTGTCTTTCTAGCTCTTCACTTAAATACAGACTCGTACTTCTAGGTGTGAAAACAAGGACGCACGTTCTTGCGTCTTTCTTCAGTAATACATATGACAAGTGTTGGTCATTCAAGATGACTTGGCCCTGGTACCCTCTAGTTTCTCTGAGTGACGTTTGCTCACACCTATGTGTTATGTGTGATTTCTTCTCTCACTTGATTACCTGCTAAATCAATCATCTCACTTTGAATCATACATTCTGGATAGCGACTGTTTCATTACTTTTACGCATGCTATTTTTGGCCATTCTAGAATAAAAACTGGAATTATTAATTAAGATAGGACTTTTTAAAAATGCGTTCTGTAACACACACTGCTTGTCAGTGCTGGAAAAGGCAGCATCATGCTTAGCTAAGTGATTTTGATCAGCACCTCCCCACTGTGTTCCAGCCTGGTATTCACTTGTTGTTGAACACTCTTGGTGATTTGCTCTTTGTTCAGCCTATTTAAAAATGGTTAGTATTTATATAGATACTTTCTTATACGTATATATGTGGCACTTCCTTTGGCCAGCGCTGATGTTGAGAATTGCTGTGGGGGCCGGCACTGAGCCCAGCAGGTGAAGCCGCTGCCTGTGCTGCTGGTACCCCATAAGAACACTGGTTCAATTCCCAGCTGCTCCGCTTCTAACGCAGCTCCCACTAACACCTGGGAAGGCAGCAGAGATGGCTCAAGTGCCTGACCCATCCTGTGGGAGATCCACATGGAGCTCCTGGCCCTGGCTTTGGCCTGGTCCAGATGTGGCCGTAGGGAGAGCGAACCAGCAGATGGAAGGTTCTCTCTCTCTCTCTCTCTCTCTCTCTCTGTAACTCTACCTTTTGAATAAATAAGTTAAATCTTTATTTGAAAAAACAGGGATGTGGGGAGGAAATTGGCATGAGTCATGTAGCACCCATAACACAAACCTTGTCTTCTGACTCAGGATGGAAAACCTGCTCCCAGAGCCGCCTTTTCTGTTCGGAAGAATGTCGGTATAAAGTGAAACACGAAGCCTTCTGCCGTGCTGTCCCGTGAAAACACTGCGATTGCTGACTTGAACCACACAGGTTTCACTGTCGGGGGAGGTGACAAGCAGGCCACTCTTAGGGTCATCCTAAATGCACGGTGCTCAGAGCACTCACCTCCCCTGGGTCGACCTCAGGAAGGGAGTTTGCATCCTCCCGTGGCCAGGCCAGGGCTGCACTTGCTGCCGCCGACTGTGAATTTGTGCTGAACAATCCTCCTTTTCATCCTCATGGCTTTGAGCACAATTAAATCTTCAAGCAGCAAAGAATATGCGGTCCCAGGAATTTCGTCTGACCTCTTGACCTTGTGAATCTGATGAGAATAATTTTCTTCTTCATTTTCATTGTTGTGATCAGTAATTAAAACTTTATTAGACATAGAATTTGTAACGTCTCACTAGAAAATTTTGTGTAAGTCTGCTTGATATAAAATTTCTCATTTTAGGGGCTGGCGCCGTGGTGCAGTAGGTTAATCCTCCACCTGCGGCACCAGCATCCCATATGGGTGCCAGTTCTAGTCCCAGCTTCCCCTCTTCCGATCCAGCTCTCTGCTATGGCCTGGGAAAGCAGCGGGAGATGGCCCAAGTCCTTGGGCCCTGCACCTGCATGAGAGACCAGGAAGAATCTCCTGGCTCCTGGCTTCGGATCGGCACAGCTCTGGCCATTGCGGCCATCTGGAGAGTGAATTAATAGAAGGAAGACCTTTCTCTCTGTCTCTCCCTCTCACTGTCTGTAATTCTACCTCTCAAATAAATAAATAAGATCTTTTAAAAAATTTTCTCATTTTACAGGACTGGCATTGTGGTGTAATGAGTTAAGCCGCAGCCTGTGACACCGGCATCCCATATGGGCACCAGTTCGAGTCCTGGCTGCTCCACTTCTGATCCAGCTTCCTGCTAATGCGCCTAGGAAAGCAGTGGAAGACGGCCCATGTCTTTGGGCCCCTGCATCCACATGGGAGACCCAGGTGAAGCCCCCAGCTTCTGGCTTTGGCCTGGACTAGCCCCAGCCATTGTGGCCACTGGGGGAGTGAACCAGGGGATGGAAGATCCCTCTCGCTTGCTCCCTCTTTCTCTGTAACTCTGCCTTTCAAATAAATAAAATACATCTTTTTTTAAAAAAAACTCATTTTTATTGTTTCTAACTTTGAAAAATTTAGGCAAACCATTTATTTGAAGGTGTTTCATTTTCTTTTCTGAGCTCCACATTCTATGAATCTTGCCTTATATCCATTCTCAATGATTTAAAGACTAAAAATAGAATGCAATTGTGTTTAAATACACTTGCATCAAAAACAAATCTGGTACATAAAAGTTAACATTATCATTATATTTTAGAAATTATCTTAAAATAGTTTAAATATTAAAATTATAAAGAAAAATGGAAAATGTGCCAGCATAAAGTGAAATTTTTCAGAGATGAATTTTTATTTCATTTTGAACATTTAGTGAAAAATTTTTTTAAGATTTTTTTATTTGAAAAGTAGAGTTACAGAGAGGCAGAGGTAGAGCACGCAAGAGAGATCCTCCATGCACTGGTTCACTCCTCACATGGCAGCAATAGTGGGGGCTGGGCAGATCTGAAGCCAGGAGCCTGGAGCTTCTTCCAGGTCTCCCACGTGTGTACAGGGGCCCAAGCACTTGGTCCCTCTTTCGTTGCTTTCCCAGGTGCATTAGCAGAGAGCTGGAGCAGAAGTGGAGCAGCTGGGACTAGAACTGGTGCCCATATGGGATGCCGGTACTGCAGGCGGCGGCTTTACCCACCACACCACAGCACTGACCTGTGAGACCCTATTAAGTAGTTTACACAAATAGACTTGCTTTCAGTGCTGGTGTCCAGGGGCCATCTATTACCAACACAGAAGTTGGCACCGGGCTTTGCGCATGTTCTGTGCGGGTCCTCATATGTCTGAATAGAAGAATAGCGTGAGTGATTGTGAAGGTTCTCTAGATACAGATGCAGCCGGGGCCAATAACGCCCTGGCTCTCCAGGGCCCTGCGAAGAGATGCAAGAAAACGGGCTCTCCGCACAGCTGGGCAGCCGCGCTGCGTTACCCAAGCCCCTGCGGCGTTTACCCCGCCTCGAGGGCGGCTCTCACAAGGTAGTTGTCAGTCATTTATCTTAGTAAGCACTTTGCGGCTCGCTCCTCTCCGGGTCTGAAGTAGGTACAACCCTCAGCCCATCACGGCACTCGGCTTGGGCTGCTTTTTGTTTCCAGAAAGAGGGGAGAGAGTGGAGACGCACTTCCCTGGGCTGAAGCTCTCTGGGCGGAGGTCAGGGGTGCAGGTGCCTCGTGCCAGCACCGCCTGCCCGAGCCCGGCGACAGATGCACCCACGTCTCCTGTAGGGCGTGCGCGGTGTGTGTCTGTGCTCTGCAGACCCTCGGAAAGTTCAGAGCCCGGGACGGAGGCCTCTCTGGTCTGTGGGGAAGGGATGGTTCTAGCTTCTAGATACTTCTACATGGTGTGGGTGGACAGATGAGGGAGGGTTTTTAGTCCATCCATCCTTTATTTTTTTTTTTTAACTTATTTGTCATTATTATTTTAGACTGTCTCCTATACCAAGGACTATGCTAGGTACTGGGGTTGCAGACTGGAGGCCTCGGGAGCCCTTTTGAAGAAGCAAGTGGGGACAGGGAGACATCAGAGAGATGAGGGGGTGCGGGGAGGCAGGAAGGAGATTCTAGGGAACAGTTGGTGCAAATGCGTGGACCCGCGAGGGGAGCCCGTGAGTGTGGAAGGCTGTGCTGCAGCTTGGCTTCCAGGGGCCTGGCCGCTGTCCTGAGGGCCCACACTTTATCCTATGTGACGTGGTTGTGTGCAGTTTCAGGGAGGAAAAATGTTTCCTCTACTCTCCTGGGTTCAGGAGTGGGGAGGCTGCAAATTAAACCCATGGAAGACAAATTGGCAAAAGAGGAACGGCCCCACGGATCCAATCCCGCAAGTCCGCACGGATTTCTCAGAAGTGGGACTCGGGGAAGTGAGTGGAACCTGGGGCTCAGGGTTGTGGTTGGGCGCAGCGGTGAAGTCGCTGCTTGGGTGTCCACATCCCATACAGGCGTCCAGGTTCAAGTTCCAGCTCTCCTGGTTCCAGCTTCCTGAACGTGCATCCTGGAAAGCATCGGGTGGTGCGGTACCTGGGTCCCTGCCACCCACGCGGGAGACCCAGACTGAGTCCCAGCCCCTAGCTTTGGCCTGACCCAGCCGTGACTGTCGCGGGAATTTGTGGAGTGAACCGACAGGTGGGAGATCTTGGTCTTTGTCTCCATCTCTGCGCCTTTCTAATAAGTGAAATAAATACAGTCAAATGTAACAAGAATTCTGGGGTTTATTTGTCATCTTCACAGGGACAGGCAAGAGTCAGCAGCACTTCTGGGGAGACGGAGGGTGCTTGTGGGAAAACGAACATGATAGAAAAGTGGGTGTGGTCATGGGGTGGAGAGCCAGTGCCCGTCTGTGACAGGTCTGCTTGGGTGTGGTGCTGACTTCCGGTCTCAGAAGATCAGAGTGACCTCGGGGAGAGACTGATGACAATGGAGTCGTGGGGGAAGCTCTGCTTCTAAAGTGGGTGAGAGATTTCAGGACTTCGATGCCTCCAGCTCCATACCACATCTACACTGCGTGCCTTTTCTGGGCCCTTCAGCAAGGAGACTGTCCTGCAGTTGGAGAGAAAGGAGAGGAGCAGACCTCTCAGGAGACCGGGGATGAGGCTGGGCGAGAGGTAACGAGGCCTGGATCAGAGCTGCTTAAATTGTGAGGGGCACACAGCACGCCTGGGGGCTTGTTAAAATGCAGGTTCTGACGGGAGGGGGTGGAGATACTGTATTTAAAAACCTTTTTTAAAAAAAGATTTATTTATTTTGAAAGTCAGAGTTACACAGAGAGACAGGGAGAGACAAGAGAAGGATCTTCCACCCACTGGTTCACTCCGCAGAGGGCAACAATGGCCAGTGCTGGGCCAGGCTGAAGTCAGGAGCCAGGAGCTTCATCTGGGTCTCCCAAGTGGAATGCAGGGGCCCACACACTTGGGCCATCTTCTGCTGCTTTTCCCAGGCGCATTAGCAGGGAACTGGATGGGAAGTGGAGCAGCCAGGAATGGAACTGACATCACAGGCGGCAGCTTCGCTGGCTACACCACAATGGCCCCCTGCATTTAAAAACTTTGCATTCATTGTGTTCGCTCTCCCAATCCAGGTCTCCCACAGGTGGGTGGCAGGGAGCCAAGTAGCTGAGCCATCAGCACTGTTACCCAGGTTCTCATTAGCAGGAAGTTGGAGTCAGGAGCAGGATCTGGGACTCAAACCCAGGCAGTGGGGGGTGGGATGCAGGGGCTTAACTGCTGGGCTACACTCCTGCTCCAGGAAGCCTCCTGGTGTAACTGATCCTGTGTCCACGGCCCACAGCAGGGAGTGCAGATGGGGAGGAGCCCAGAGAAGGTCACAGCTCTAGCTACGCAACAGAGCCACCTGGCCTGCATGCAGAGCAATGCATCAAAATCTCCGGGGTGGGCCCAGGGGGCAGAGCTTTGTAAACTCCCAGGAGACGAAGCTGCCAGGGAGGCGGAGTGGCCGTGCCTTAGAGCCACGGCGATGAAGACACCCTCTGCCAGCCGTACCCCTCCCACCGGGTCCCTCCCTTCTCTGGCTCTGAATGCCAGAGCTGATCCTTGCTGGAGTGTGGAGGGGGGTTTTAGGGAACAGAAACACAGATCAAAAACCCACACCCAGAGAAATGATGACCGTTTTCGTCTGCCTCTCCTCTGCTCTTCATTCCGCTGCCATACTTGGAAACAGGCTGCGTGCATCTCATCTTCCGCACAGTCACAAAGCACCGGCAGAAGTCTGCTGTTGTTTATCACGGTTGCATAAACATCCTTGAACCCTGAGCCCCCACCACTAGCCGCAGAAGACTGAGCTAGACAGAAAGCAAGAGTGGAAATACAAGTTGTTTGCTTTTGTTTCAAACAATGCCAATTGCTTTTGCTAATTACAAAGATTATACAGACTTATTGTAAAAGAAAAAAAAAAAAACAACTTCAAACATCATGGACAGATAAAACCTAGAAAAAGGCAGTGCCCCAGCATCCAGTGGTTTGCTTTTCATTTCCGTTTAGAGAAAGGAGACCCTGAACCACGGCAGCGAAGCTCCGAGATGGCTGGAACGGAAAGCGGCGTCTGGCCACGCTCCGGCTGCCGCAGCCCGTTTCGCTTTTTCACTTCCGAACTTTGGCAAATGTGACGCTGTTCTCATCTTCTCACCTGGAGTGATCACTGCTTAATGGTAGTGATTAACTCCCCGGCTCAGAAGGCAACTGGTTATTAAATAACAACCTCCTGCCACATTATCCTTCTCCTAAACAATGCGCTCGCGAACCCCGTGGTCTCCCGCCTCAAGCCAATGTCACAGCTTTGGGGCAGGTGGCACCAGTGAATTCATCCCTGGCACACGCCCGACCCCTCAGCCAGCAGTGGAGAACAATGCTGCTCAGACAACCCCCAGCGATGAGACTTTGCTTTCCCAAGCTTGCACCATTGACGGATGCTGTCAATGCTATCTGTTAGTGAGATTAAGGAAGTAAAAATATAGATTATTCTTAGACTACTAAATTGGCATGCTCATGGGACATCTGCAGAAGAGACTGATGACACTTCTGTGTGTTCTTAAGCTTGGCAGAGGAGGAACCAGAGGGGAGCCTACAGGAAAACAGGGCTGGGCCAGCACACATGGGTGCTTCCGACCGTTCATGGACAACAGAATTCAAAGCTAACCTTATTTGGGCGCCTTTCAAAAAACTGCACTGCATGCACACAAAGGGTCTACAAAAAGCTCGTGCAAAGTCTGTGTCAGGACAGGACTAGGCACGGATTTCAAATCTCTATGCAGCAAAATAAACTTAGCTCTTAATTCCATATTTTGGGAACTCTTTGAGGTCCCTTTGTGCACATCTGTATGAAGCTGACGCCTCTTTGGAGCTGGGGGAGGGGAATGGATCATCTTGGCTGCGTCTATTGAGAAAGGGTCAAGGGATGAGATGCAGCGAATGAATGAATGAGGGATGGGATAGCTGGTGACGATTTAACAAGGAGAGGAAACTTAATGGGGTGATGGTGTCACAGAGGTCTATACATGGAATATTTTCCCCAAAGCCAAGCTTTCCCAGTTCTCACCTTGCTCCACGTCCCCAGTAAGGGCCAGCAGCACGTTGCACCTGTTCACCTCTGCTGCATTAGATCCTTCTAGCCCTCGGTAGCCCTCTCTGTGCCCCATTGTTTCCTTTGATGCCCTGCAGGTGCGCCCTGCCGCCTCGGGCTGAGGGTCACCAGCTTTGCCCAGGAGCGGCCTGACGGAAGGGAGAGGGTGAGCTTCCAGCCGTGTCCAGCAGCCCACCTCTGCGGCGCTCCTGGGAAGGGGAGTTCTTCGGCTTCTCATTAACAACACTGCCACTTGGCTCGGGGGAGCCCACCCACCGGTTCAGGAGCTGCCACCGCCTCCGCTGCAGCCCAGTGCACTTGATTGACTCTCAGAGGGTTCTGTCATGTTCTAGAACACAAAGTGGCTCCCACTGAGCCATTTCTCATCTCTCTGAGCCGTTGCCTTCTACTTGAAACATGGATGAAAGCTTGAGCCACAGCACAGCGATGCTGGGTTTGAAATAAGCTGGGACCCAGATCCGAAGTATGCCCCTGATGGGAAATGGGGACGGGACAGGTGTTTCTAGACCACTCTAATCAGCCACAATTGCCTGGATAGTTCAGGTGGAAATGGGGTCCCTTCCACCTAAATAACCCAGGTAATTTAGAGTGTGAACTGTGCTGTGCTTGGTAGACACCGATTGTAAATGACTCACTCACTAGTCATCAAGTAGTCACTAGTTTGCAAAAATTACTCCCACCAGGAGTCTTGATTTCTTCATATTTATGATGATCATAAACGCATAAAGACTCTCCAAAGATATTAAGTGAAAAAAATGCAAGGTGCTGAACAATGTACATAAAATGCTCCCATTTGTGATAAACGTTTAGAGAAGAATAGACATTTGTATGGCTTATGAATGCCTTGGAATATCTGGGAAGAGAGGAAGTGAAAGCGAAACACCAAATCTAGTAACCCTGCCCACGTAGGGGTGGATGGGGGGTGCCAACGGCAGGTAGGGATCGTTTTTCACTGGGTGCCTTTGAGACTTTTCAATGTTTAAAAGGTGTGAATGAATATGCTGGCAAGAAAAAAAATAACGAATTGTTTGATTAAAAAACCTTCACACCAAGCAGTAGAGTCTGTGGTTAGTGACTCAGTAAACCAGAACACAGGTGGATGCCCTGAGCTCCTCTCCAGTGTTTGTCTTCTCCTGGAAGGAGTGAGTGACAGAGGCAGCATCTGCCTTCTTCCCCAGCAACCCTGCAGGAGCACCTGCCCGCCAGCCGGGGGCGGTGGAAGAGCCCAGCAGCCGAAAGTCTGGGCTCTGCTCTTTCCCCTCGCCTTACGGGTGCACACGGCTGTGTGTGATGCAGGCAGGGCCAGGCTGAGTGCGTAGGGCGTGAGCGTGGGCATTGCCTTCAGTCACCTTCCTGTCTAGCACAGCCAATTGTCTCGGAAGACCCCACAGGCCCAGCGGGCAGGCACGCAGCCTGACACTGCCCTGTCGTTAGAAGGACAGGCAGATGGCACTTTACAAATGGCTGACGTGGCGAATTGATGCTATTTGATGTTTTACCACAATTTGAAAAGTGAACAATGCACTCTGCCGCATCCATTGAATGAGTTTGTAAAAATCAGGCAAAAGTCCCTACCTTTCTGCTGACTTGTTGGTCGGCTCCTAGAAGGCGGAGGCCTGGCTTTCTGCGTATTTACAACCCAGTGCTTTTGGGAGAGCTGGCCAAGAAGGCGTCTGGAACTGTTTGTTGCCTGCATCGCGCTTCGTAGGAGCTGCATGCGGAGCTCAGAGTCACCTGCTGAATCTGTGTGGCGTAGCCGGGAAACCACCTCTGTGCGATGATCTGTTCGATGCAAAAAGTCAAATAACCTAATTATGATGGGCTTGAGTTGGTGTTTTTCCAAAGGTACTCTGTAAAAGGCGGCGCACACGTGGGAACATGCTGGATCTCTGGTCACCAGTGAACTGCACACGAACAGCTTCCACCGCCGTGGGGCTGCTACTGGGAAGAACCCAGAGAGCAGCCAGCATGTCCAAGACGTGGGGCAGACGGAGCCCGCGTGCGCTGCCGGTGGGATTGCGAAACGGAGGCGGACGGCAGCGTGGAGGAGCCTGGGGCTGGCGGTGAGGGGCAGAGAAGGAGGAGTTACTGTTTCTGGATTGAGAGTTTCAGATTTGGAATGTTTGGGAGGTCTGTTTTACAGCAGTGTGAATGTGCTTAGCACCACGGAAATGAAGGGTTAAAAATGGCTGGGATGGGGCCAGCGCTGTGGCGTAGTGAGTAAAGCCACTGCCTGGAGTGCTGGCATCCCAAATGGGTGCTGGTTGGAGTCCCGCCTGCTCCACTTCCGATCCAGCTCTCTGCTGTGGCCTGGGAAAGCAGTAGAAGATGACCCAAGTCCTTGGGCCCCTGCACCCACAGGGGGACCCGGAAGAAGCTCCTGGCTCCTGGCTTCGGATTGGCCCAGCTCCGGCCTTTGCAGCCATTTGGGGAGTGAACCAGTGGATGGAAGACCTCTCGCCCTCTCTGCCTCTGCCTCTCTGTAACTCTATCTTTCAAAATAAAATAAGTAAATCTTTAAAAAAAAATGAATGGGACAGTAAAGTTTATGGCATGTGTTTTTTTTTTTAACCACAATTAAAAAAAGAAGAAGAAACCAGTTCTAAGATTGGTAAAATTCTGCTAATTGTGAAACTGAGCGACGAAGACCCTGAAGTTGCTTCTGCTGCCCTATTTTGGTAAAATAGGATTTAGTAAAATTTGTTTAGAATACATTCAGTAAATGCATTTAGGATTTAGAGAAACGTAGTGACATTTATGCTTGACAAGTTCTACGATGAAAGGTCATTAGGAAAAGCAGGCAGCTCTTCTGCACGAAAGCCGCGCTGTGGATGAGTCACCAAGGACCCGGAAGGGCTGAGAACATTTGAGCTTGGCCCACAACTCAGGTTTGCCCTGCGGTGGCCTCTGTGCCATGGAAGGAGAGGTGAGCTGTGTGGCACCCGCAGCCGGGGGACGGCGTCAGCCTCAGCACACGCCCTGTTTTTGCTTCTCAGCCTCCTCTAACACACTGTAACGCTTGAGCGCGGTCCTGTGTTGTAATTCTCTGCAGGTGAGACGCAAACACACGGCTGACTGGACGCATATTTCAGGTCTATTTCATTTACATCTCTGTGTCTCCCAATATCTGATTAAACTCCTCCACTGCCTTCCTGGAAGCAGCAGGATCAACAGTGGTAATGTTTATTGAGCTTTTCAAACACCACCGATCCCCAGCCAGAATACCTTCCTCTGTTCCCGTGGCTTTGGTCCTAACATAGCTTCCCAGGGGTATTTGCCAAAATAGTCTTGGATTCATTCGTAATCCACTTTCTAACTCACATATGAAAGATAATTGTTTGTGTAAAATATTAACCAGATTATTTTGCTTGTGGATACCTACCTAGAGGAGTTGGTAAATTATACAAAAATAACATGAATAATATATGAATAATTATATAATAGCCAAGTGCAGAAAATTGAAAGAACAAGCAAGGTTTCATCCCGGATGTCTGCATTATGCCCAAGCTCTGGATGAAGCCTGGAGACATCACACATCTGGATTCCTACTGACCTGGGGCCAAGAGTCTACATGTTTGGACAGTGGAGGAAGGGGGGTCCTTGTCAGTGCTGCAAACACAGATGTGACACTGGGGAATTCAGAGACCAGACCTTAGTGACAGAGATGATGCAGAGAAAGTTGGAGGGAGCAAAGTCCAGGGGAATAGGATCTGCTAACTGTCTGGAGAGAATAAAACTCCAGAAAGTAACAATGATGGGACAGGTGCATACATAGTTACAGAGTGTCACACCCAGGAGAAATAGTTGCCTGGGCGGCTTCATTGAGCTCTACTTAATCTTGTTTTCTCACATTCTTTATCCGGTAGGGGTAGGACGAGAGGGCAAGAAAGAGATTTCTAAGTGCAGAATTCCTGGAAGTTCCGTTCACTGACCAGACTCTCTCCACACTCGCTTGTAAATTTCTAACCTTGACATGCAAGTCTGAGATACAAATTACCTGCCCTTCCCCCCAAGCAATAATAAAAACAAAGTGGATGCCATTTCTGGTGGCATTTTGTTATGTGGCTAGCCTTTGATCTCAGCCACACCACGGGCCGGTCTGCAGGCATATTGAGAAATCAAGTTACTGAGTGGTTTTTTCTTTTTTTCCACTTCAGCCATTTATCAGCAAATGCTATAAAAATCCGAATTGTTCCTCTTGATCTCGATCAGAGATCATAGTTTTCTTTGATCTCCTCTGTGTGAGACATTTGTGCATGGCTTCCTGGTTTAATTGTCTGACTTCCGGGCACTGTTTTAGTTTAAAAGTTAACAGTGGTTTTATTTATTTATTTATGTGTTCACTCACTCATTCCTAATGTGCTCGAGCCAGCCAGTCCTGCAGGCAAAGCGTGTGATTTTCAGCGACATCTTGTCAACAGGCAGTGCCTGCCTCGGTTCAGTTTTGCTCAGATAGTTCCTTCTGGAATACCAGGAGAAACACCTCGTGGGAAAGTTCCCGAGGTTGGGATGAATCCTGACTGCTGGTTTCTGCGTGGAAGACACGAAGGCTTATCAGCGGGCTGGCCGGCTCCACGTCTCGCCTGACTTCCTCAGTTCACCCCCTGGCTCCCGCCTTCCCTGCGACAGCAGCGGGTAGAGCATCGGGTGGAAAGTGCACCTGCTTGCTTCCCATGCCCCTGTTCTGCTGGGGGTGCTGAGGGTTTTGTAGGTTTCCCTAAAGCAGGGACTCTAGAACCTGGAGCTGAGGCTTGGATACAATTTCTACTTGCTCTGTGCTGTGGCCAGGTTGTCCACAGGGACTTTGAAAGTGCAGATACCAGGGAAGGGGAGAGCCACGAGGGCCACACTGTAAACGCTGGCCACGTGGGCCGCTGAGGCCGAGCACGCGTCTCCCCTCTCTCCACTCTGAGTCTTGCTTGCCCTTCCTCTTGGTGCACAGGTGCCTTCTGGCTTGCACCAGTCCCGTTTGTGCTTTAAAATTTCTGGTGAAGCCTCACCCCGTGCACGCCCGCGTGGAGACAGTGCAGAGGCCTTCGAACAGAACACTTGACTACACACTTGGGACTGCACGAAGCACTTGAGACTAACGGTAAGCAGGCCTGTGCTGCCCCCAGGAAGGGCCACGTGTGCACAGCAGGGGTCCCACTGTGCTGCGTGGCATCCAGTGGTTCAGTCTGAACAGCAGAGGAGCCCCACCACCCCTGGGGAGGGTGGGGTCTTAGACCAGGGTGTGGTTTTCCAGGACAAGCAGCTGTAGTGACCATTAGAGCCCAGGGACTCCGGGGCTGTGTGCTACACGAGGGTGGGTGTGGATTGACATGGATGCTTCCCGTGTGACATGCATCTGACATGCGTGGGAATGGGGATTGTGGACATTCCTCCCTGGTAGACATCTGTGGCTGACCCGTTGACCTCGGGGCTCCGCAGAGCCTGGCACGTGGGTGAACAGCCCTTTCATCGGGGTGAGCTAGGAAGGTGCACTGGTGACGGTCAGGGGAGGCGGAGGCCCCCAGTGGGGAGGGGACAGTGATCTGAGGGGGAGGCAGGGATGAAGCAGTCAGAAGCCGGTGGAGTTAGGGCAAGAAGAGGGTGTCGGTGAGGCCCAAGGTCAGACTGGCTGTGGGCGGGGCGGGGAGGGTGTCCCATGTGCATGTGGGACTGGAGAAAGGAGCCGGGCCACCATCTGCTCCTTAGGTGAAGACCCTGGGGACGGGGGGAGGGGGGGGAAGGTGAGAGCAGAAAGGTGAAAGAAGGGAGGCGGAGGGAGGAGAAGAAAAGATGGGGGCCGGCACCCTAGCGCAGTGGGTCAATCCTCCGCCTGCGGCACCGGCATCCCACATGGGTGCCGGTTCCAGTCCTGGCTGCTCCTCTTCCGATCCAGCTCTCTGCTGTGGCCTGGGAGGGCAGTGGAGGATGGCCCAAGTCCCTGGGCCCCTGCACCCACGTGGCAGACCAGGAAGAAGCTCCTGGCTCCTGGCTTCGGATCTGCGCAGCTCCAGCCATTTGGGGAGTGAACCAGCGGCTGGAAGACCTTTATCTCTGTCTCTCCCTCTCACTGTCTGTAACTACCACTTAAATAAATAAATACATCTTTAAAAAGAAGAAAAGACAGAGAAAAGAGGAGACAGAAAGGAAAGGAAGGAAGACAGGGAGAAGAGAGACAAGGCAGGGAAAACACCTGTTCCTCCATCGGGGGGCGAAGCACAAGGCCAGCAGGACTGGTGCTTCACCCAACGTCGCGAAGGTAAGGGAACCATCAGCGGGCATGGTGATGGGGGAGGGGCCTGGCACCCCTGGGAGCCGTGAGATGGACAGGAGTGAGACCGCCCGGGCGGGAGCGTGACTCGTAGTCCTGGCGGATTGGGAACTTTCAGTGTTAGGTAAGGATGATTGGCACACGGATGGCTTGGAGGAAGGGTGCCCCCGATCTTTAACTTGCAGGTCACATGGAGAAAACTTGGAGGAAACGCTCTGACATGGAGATGTCAATTTGAGTGACAGCCCTGCGGCGGTGCCTGGCGCGGGCCGCCTCCCTGCCATGCCTCGCTTCACAGAAATGATGGCTGCCATTCGAGCAGAGACATCCTTCCCGAGCGGGGTCAGGAAGCTGACAGGGCCCACCCATTAATAGAAATAACTGTCATTTAAAATAAAATGCTCAGTGGAAAACTTCAGAAATCTATTAGATAACACGGGGCCTGTGATCGGGGCACCCATGAATCACTGCACGGGAGGCTGGTGCTCAGACAGGGCGCCATGCGTGGGAGGCAGTCACATCCCAAGCGGCCAGGGCCACCACCCACCAGCCTTCAGCACCGCCAGCCCCTTCTGCCCACGCACGGCCCACCCAGCTTTCCTCCCGACACAGCACGTGGGGAGGGGCCTGGACAGGAACCCCAGTGACACCTTAGTTTCTGCTTGGCAACTTCTGTGGCCAAAAGTCTTAGAGACAAGAGCTCTGCAAAATCACGGAGCCAGGCGTGCTCGCTGCGGGAGGGGCTCCCAGCAGCCAGGGCCCCCTCGGCGCCTCTCGGGTGCCTTCCTTTTCTGAGTGAACTAAATCTCTATTGAGATCGTGGCTCCTCTCCAAGACAGCCTGGGATGGGGGCGGTTTTCCTCCAACACTCAGTAAACATCTCAATCAGGAGCCGCGACCGAGTCGAGCTTCATCGCTTTTCAGAGGGGGGCCCAGCGGTGGTAGAGTGGATAACAGGCATGCTAGGAATTCAGCCCTCGTCCGTGCGCCACCCTGCGGGGGCTGGTGCTAGAGGCCGTGGCTGCCTGTCCTGCATGGCCACGTCACAGCTCTCCAC